GTGCTTCTCACCTGACAGCTGTTGGGATATTCCACGGGACAATAGTCTTCATGTACATCCGGCCCAGCTCCAGCTATTCCATGGACCAAGACAAATGGGCTTCAATGTTCTACACGGTTGTGATCCCCATGCTCAATCCTCTGATCTACAGCCTGAGGAACAAGGAGGTGAAAGATGCCCTGACAAAATCAGTGGGCAATCTATGGACTTTTAAAGGGAGTAGCCCTAGACAAATTTAAGGGTCAGCCTTACACAGTAATAATCTCTGACACCTTTAAAGAGGAATAACATCTGTGGTAAAAGGAATATGTTGTATTCTAATGTTTTGTGATCTTTTATACTTCTGAATATTATCTCATTAACAAACCCACCTTATTTAAACATAGTAGACCTAACTAACATCAGTCTCCAACAGTTTGGTGGGGTTAGGCAGGCCACTTTTTCAGTTTAATCAGATAAGCTTTGTGCTTCCAGCTCATTCACTCCTTAGCCACTTCCCAGGCTCTTCAGCCACAAACAATGGTAGCATGGCAGGAGTCCACAAAATGAGGGTTCCTGGTTTCATAAACCAAAACGATTAATTGTACAAATCACAGGGTCAAAACCCTGTATAATTATTGATTGTAGAAAGCACAAGGCTGAAAGCCTATATAAACATTCAGAGTTCAATACAAGTAAATTAAAGGTTGCTGTTGGTTCTAAATTTGTCAAGTTACAAGTAGTTTAACATATAATAAACCAAATATTTCAATCAATTTGTTTATTTAACCATCATTATCATCTTTAGAAGGTTAAAAATATCCATATTCTTTCTGTGGAAAAGAAGACTACCTGTTCAGTTAGCTTTGTCCAATCTAGGGCAAGATTGGATAGGAGTTATGGGATTTAGAATCTAACATATATGGAGGAATACTCATCTGAAGAGTTGTTTTACTGTATCAAATTGAAATAAATAAAATCAAATATTTTTTTTAAATCTTTGAGTTTTTTCTCCGCTATTTAGGTTGATTTTTAGCAATTCACAAAGCAAAAGAAAGTCCTGAAGTGGAATAATAAAGTGATTTTTTATGAAATTGCTGTAGAAACCTGCAACTAGCAGAAATTGTTAGGGCTTTATTAAGAACTGAGAAAGAGACAGGAAAAAGGAAATAAAATATTCAAGGCAACAAGAAAGATCTGAGCATTTTACATTGGAAAAAGTAATCAAGGGGACAGGGTCATAATACTGTTTTGAGAACCTTGGTGGAAAAACATTTTTCACTCTTTTTCATAACACTAGAATCCAGGATCATCCAGTAGAGTGAGTGAGTAAGTAAAGTAAGTAAGAGCTTTTTGACAGATAAATGAAACTACTTCTCTAAACTATGAAATTAGTTTCCACAAAAAGTACTGATGATTATATAAAATAGTAGAGGACAGGGCTAAGAACAGTTATTTGAAAACTCCAAATTCAGTGTCAGAACCTCCACAGTCAAGCAACCATCCTGCTAGCTTGCTTGCTTCATTTCTGCCATTACAACACTAAGGGGAGTGGGGGGAAGAGCTGTTGGGCACACATGGACTGTTACCTAGTTCTCAGCATGAGACCAAGAGTTAATCAGTGACCTGCGTAAGACAACCTGAGAAACAGAAAAGGGGGAGGTGCAAGGGGAAAAGAAATAAAGGTAACTTTTGGTGGGCATGGGCCTCAATTTCAGCAATGCTCTCGACCTGTATACCAGTCCTTAATAAACAAACTGTCAG